ACTTATTCTTGCTCAGATTCTTATTAAAGTGACGTGTTGAGAAATAATGTACGATCAATAAACAACAAAGCCCATAATAATCGTAGGCAAAAATCTTTGGAAAAAAAAACTTTATTTCACTTTAAATGAAACTAACCAATGGAACATAAATCAATTTGATTTTTAGAAAATTGGGCTTTAATCAAGTAACCAATCTACAATTTACATAATTAGCGTAAACCACAAACACAACTATTCTTGTATTCGTGTACAAGATTAATATCAGATCGGATAATATACGTGTACAATTGTGATGTATTGAATAGAATATTAATTAGCATTTAATTATAATATTGTTCATAGCTAAATGTAAATATATCGTTGATTTGCTGCCATTAAACATATTACAACTACAAATTTGTCATAAATGTCACACTGATAACTGCACTAGACCAGTATATACTGTATAATATTTTAAAGCAATGTTCTATGTCACACGCTTGTTATCTGTCACACGTGTTATCTGTGCTGAGCATCGCGACATTGTCTGATCTACTACATGAAAATTAATAGTTTTTTTTTATAATTTATATATCGTATTTTCTAAATTATATCTTGTATATCATATTGTAATTTACTTTTATATTTTCTCCATTAATAATATCAGAGTGTGTTTTCTGTATCAAATTTCGTATTTGCATAAATCGCATTCGGGATGTAAAAAAAAGTTATTTCCTTATCAAGTAAGATCGTATTTTCTTAATAATATTATAAAATCGGATTTTCGTTACACAAAAAAAAGTTATTTCTTAAGTTCATATTATTTTTCCTTGTAAATCAGATTAAAATTTCTTAACATCAGATCATCCTAGCTTCAGAACAGATCATATTTTCTGTAAATCAGATAGAATTTTCTTGAAATTGGTTAGTATGTTGTTGAAAATAATATGATTAATTCGTATTTACCATTAATTAGATTGTAAATCAGATAATGATTTTTTTTGTAAATCAGATGATATTTGTTTTGAATTAGAAGGTATTTAGTCGAAAATAATATTATATTTGCTGTAAATCAGATTATATCTGCGATGGTGCAGTAGGGATCACAAGCGGCCGAGTTCTCTCCTCGCTTGTTACCAATTGTATGTATAGTGTTACCTTTTCCAAATTGATTCAGAAGATGACATTGTTAGAACAGAATGCGGGAATTAATGTAATGAATCATTTGGGAAATATAAACTAAATATCAAAGCGGCTTCTCACAAAGTCGGTAATTTCTATGTAGGTGTTTATATATTTTAGTCGAAGAAAATATATTCAGTTTCTTAAAATATTACGATGAAATACCGACACGAGTAGGGATTACTTTTAGAATTTTCCCACAAAATTTACGAGGGTTCACCTCCCAATTTTATATTAAAAGTTTTGTTAGCTGTCGTGCTAATCTCGTGTAGTAAATTTTGTCTGATACGAGAAGGCGGAGACCGTACTTTAGTTCAATGCTCAAATAAGGAATTTAATTCAACTTGAATTGTTGGTCTTTCCTTTGATTTTTTAAGTATAAAAAGAATGAAAAAGTCATTGCTGATAATGTCCCACGACATATTTGATTGTTGTTTTGGGAATAGGAGTATACATTATCACACTTAACATTTTGACTTTTATTTAACTTTGACATGATAATACACAGTATTTACTGGTAGGATTAAACACAATGATATAGTCATAAATAACTTTATCATACCCTAAATTATTTATCAGCCAAAAGGAAACAAACTCCTCTAAAGATAAATAGCTTTACAGTGTGGCAGATAAGACAAGATTTATGAATTATTTCTGGGTCTGATCACGATTATATAAACAGGCGGGGTCACGATATATAAATATACATTATATAATACTCATATATATTGTTACTCATTGGTCAAATTCTTTAACCCTGTGCTGCATTTGTTGGTACAATTAAAGTGATTTTAATTAATATTTTGAAAAGAAGTCCAAATACTACTTTATCTACAATTTGCTACCTTTGTGACAAATCATTATATTTTCAGCGTTAATTTTTCAGAAGAATGCACCTTACAGGCTCTAAACCCATTTTTAAACGTTAGAAAACTCATGTTAAGAAAAAAAATATTCCTTTCTTGGTTTTTTAAGTAACAAGATATAAATGGACCATCAGCAATATCAAACAATATTGGTGTGTATAAGAATTAGCTACGCTTGTATATACCCAAGTTCAAAAGCAACAATATTACAGTTACGTTAATATACCTGTATTAAGTAAAAAGATGAATTGAAATCAATGCGGAACTGGTATTTCAAATGAGGCCAACTAGGCATAATATAAACCTAACATGTAAGCATGTTTAGAGTAACAGTAGTCTTGTTTCATTATCTAAATACATTGTAGCTTAAATTGGACAAATCAACAAAATAAATATATAAAAACATAATTACAACATAGATTAAAAAAATAAATGTCACTTCCGACTGTCCAGAGTGAAATAAGCTATATTGGCTTTAGTCATTTAATATTATTTTCATTTATTTATTAAAAATTTTCTGTAAATAATAATTCCTAAAATTTCAACACGTTTGGTCTTCTGAAATAGTAAGTTTGGATGTATCGTTTTCTTTGATAACAGAAACTAACATATAGTGAAATTCATCACCGACTTCATTTGATATACAACAATTGCATTTACGGGCTTGATATGGAAGATCAGGTAATTTATGATTTCCGGTCCTAAAATGGAAAAGAGTGAACCTTAGATTAATTGGTATAGATGTTATTGTTTAGATATGATTCAAATGATACACCACTTTTAGATAGCCTATATATTATATATCATTTGAATTGCAAATTACATAACAACGTCGATTTCTTTCAAGTGAGTTCTTTGTTTCAGAAAACAATACATTTGTACAACATCGTCTGAAAACAGTAATAAATACATAGACGATAGGTTCAGAGTAATACCTGCACTGCTACTTTGCTGTAGATGCATTTCTATATCATTCAAAAACATGGAAAAATTATCAGAGAAGTTATCTCGAACATTCGAAAAAATGTGATAGAGAGTTCATATGACTTACACACAACATGACTTTTTATTGAACGGTTTCAGGCATATAATGTTACAATGCTGAGCTGGTAGAGCAATCAAATAGGGCATTCCTAAATATAGTGCAAGAAATGCTATGCTGCAATGCTTAGCTGGAAGAGAAATCTAGTAGAGTATTCCTAAATATAGTGTAACATGCTCTTCTGTAATGCTCATCTGGCTAAGCAAGCTTAGCTGGGTATTCTTAAATATAGTGTAAAATGCCCTTCTGTAATGCAAAGCTGGCAGAGCAATCCAGTGGGGCATTCCTAAAAATAGAGAACAAATTGTCAATATCATGTATTTGTTAATATTGGAAGCATAGTTTGATCGAATAGTTTTAATTGAATATCAAGTGGCAAATTGAAATTGTAAATTCGTGTATACAGAAAGTGCATAGCTTTATTTGCCTGGGGCCTGCAAACAGTTTACGAGCATTTAGAAAACTACATGAACTATCCGAGGAAGAAAAGAGAACACCTTAATATTTATTATTTTTAACTATTTTAGCATTCAAACCTTTTCTTGTTTATTGATATTAGTTTATTTATATTAGTTTCAAAAACATTATCTTAGTTTTAGAAATATTCACGGTCATTTTCCATTCTAAGTAATAGAGTTAAGTTCGTTTTCGTTAATAATGACAGTGTCGTCTACAAACAATTTTGAATATGAAAGGACATTGTTGTCATTTTATTTTTCAATATCAATGCATTGAATGCCCATTGTAAGTAATTTCCCACAGAGTCCTTTCCGCCATATTTTATCAAAAGCGGCTGAAAAATCAAGAAATGAACAAAACAGTTTATTTTTTCTTTGCTTTAAGTTTATCAATGAGAAATTTTAAGGTGAACACATGGTCGGTGTTGAATATTTTTGCCTCAATCCCGCTTGGTTCTGGTTTAAACGTCAAGAAAAGATTGAAATCTAGAGTATTACGCGGTTCGTATCTTTTCCGTAGTTATTCAGTGACAATCACAACAATGCTACATGTAAGCACAAACAAAACAAGCAAATAAACAAAATATAAATACTTCATGAGTGGCGGTAGTCACAAGTAAAATATGATAATTTTCATACCACAAGATGGAAATAGATCCTGTGTTTCTAGAAAAAAAAATTGAATTTTCTGTTTATTATATATAGATTTCTCTTTTTTGAAAGACTTCCCCTTAATTTTTGTATTGTGCATAGACACCAGAGAAAATACGGAAAATAAGTTTCACTGCAGTTTTAACAGAGAAAAAAAGGAAAATGAAAATACGCATTTTATTCGATAAATATTTCTCAATATTTCATTTTTAAGTTTATAATAAACGATGATATGCCAAAGAAACAGAAAAAGCAAACTTAAAAATGTAAAACGTTTAAACGGTGGCTTAAGAGCAACTTTCTACGGAAGCGTCCTGGTGCAAATTTAACATGTTCTATAAAAATTGAAAACTCCTACGTAGGAGATAGAAAAGCCTAATTAGGAGTTTGTAAATCCTAAGTTATAAGTCCTACGTAGGAGTTTATAACTCCTACGTAGAAGATATAAAAGCCTAATGAGGAGTTTATAACTCCTACGTAGGACTTTGTAATTCCTACGTAGGAGATAAAAAAGCCTAATTAGGAGTTTATAACTCCTACGTAGGACTTTTAAACTCCTACTTAGGACTTTTTAACTCCTACGTAGGAGATATAAAAGCCTTATTATGAGTTTATAACTCCTACGTAGGACTTTATAACTCCTACGTAGAAAAACACTTATAAAATCCTACGTAGGACTTTTAAACTCCTACGTAGGACTTCCTACGTAGGAGTTATCTTTTTATAGAACATGTTAAATTGGCACCAGGACGCTTCCGTAACTTTCTGAATCATTTAAAGCTGTTGAAGTATTTTGCTGTTGCTGTTGTTAATAATCTTCCTTGAATTCACTTGATGGATGTCTCATTTAAGTAGGCCTGCTTTAATGAGATCAGTGTTGAAATTCAGCGTATGCATTAAATAATGGACTTATTTTAATTTTACAAAGTTTATGAAAGCTAATTCGGTGAGTATACGTGTGTTAAAGTATATACATATAGTAACACACGCCGTACGTCACCGTCGTCGTATTTACATTCTTTGTGCAGGAAAAAACGTCGCCTAGCGAAAACCTTCATATTCGAAACGTATCGCTGAACGAGAAACACATAATGTGAACAATGTACGTGATAAAATAACGGATATACAATAATTAATATACATGCTAGTGTGTCGAAAAAATAGCAAGTTAGGAATAGCCACGTGATTCAGAATTATCTTCATAAAAGGACATGAACTTATAATACGTAATTATTTCTTTTCATAAGAAATATGGGGTTTACCAAGACACATTTTTTCTTGTTTTCGTTAGTCACTATTGTGATGTTGCTAGGAGTGAAGTACTATTTTGACAATGGAATTACTAATGACCATGTACCTGATGCTACTGTTATAGAAATAAATAAAAATAAGTATTCTGAAAATGAGAAGTTTAAGTTTCACACGTCATATTTGGAGAGAACGATTATAAATCTTGTTCAGCAGAGAAATAATATGTCTCGTGCAATGAATCTAAAACAACAGAAAATTGGACAGATGGAATGTGAGGTGTGTACAATTAAATTCCTTATTCGTTTGTATAATTAAAAAACATACCTTTCTTTTGTTTAAACATATTAGTTTAGTCTCTATTGCTGTAACGAGTTCTTGTAATTTATATTAATCACGTTCGAGTCTGTTTCCTGGAACTAAGCAATACTGTCGACATGGTCATGCCCCGACAAGAGGCTCGAGCCCGTGATTTCTAGTTAGTTAGTTAGTTAGTTAGTTAGTTAGTTATAACGGCGGGGACTGTCTGATCTTGTCATATACATGGACATGTGTGTATGATCGTGTTTAAATCACATCATCATTGTCAGTATATGAGACACATACATGTAGGACTCATCTACATTGGCTGTCTAATACTAGTAATTAACCACGTGAGCTTTAAGCAAAATTAATGCATCGGCGTACCTTGCGGATGTTTAAAAGTAATATTTTGGAAAGGTTAACCTGAGTGTGAAACTTAATCCCGGAACGATTACTTTTTGATACCTGCTAATGCATAATTAGCTTAAAATGAGATTATTGTGCTATATTACCGCTAATATTAGGCAGATTTAATATGTTTATACGTTTATAACAATAGAACCTCTGTGTATTATATTATTTTGTGATTTATCTAGACACATTTATTACTAAAGAGCACATTGAGTGACCTTACACATACTTATTTCTTTGTTACATGTAGCACATTTATCACATCTTTTAAAATATCAATGATAAGAGTTCGTTTAATCGATACAATATTTCGTAAAAAAAAGAAAAAAAAAAGGAAAACGAAACACACACACACATAAAAGAAGAAAAAACACGATATTTTTAAGGAAATTATCATTCATTTAACAGGAAAATGATATTCGAGACAGGACTAAACGCTTATTTATTGCGGTCTTATAAACTTTTTTTTTCTTCCTCGCAATTTGATATCAGTCTATTATTACCGAAACGTTTAACACATTATCAGTGTTATATTGTGATAATCAACAATGACATCGAAGATAGAAATGAAGTTTCAAGCAAATGTCGAGCCAGTTTTAAATTTCGAGCCAGCCCGAAGATTGAAATTCATTAGCTGGAGTTAAACTTCGAGTCAGCTCAAAAATAATAACTCAAAATTTGCAAAGTCGAAATTTCGAGCTGACCACCTTCAATTCGTCACGATATGCTACTGTACTTACATTTATATCCCCCCCCCCCCCCGAGAAAATGACGTCTTCTAAAACACGCAACATGTCTTACTCGGGGATGGGGGTAGGATATGTTTATACTAGCACAAAAATCCTATCAGTAAGTCAAAAAAAGAAAGATTTTTTAGCTTTATAATTGATTTGTGCGCGTTAGAAACAAATATAACAAATGTAACAGTATTCCTAATGTTATGCTTTAAAATACATTATACTTTTTATGAAATGCACAAACCGCTATTATTCAAAACAGGATTAACTTTGTAACATTATTTTGTTCTGAATAACTTAATGGCTAACATTTATATCGTTTCGCGCATAGAATTTACTAATGTACCGAAAGGGCACTCAATGTTAGAGTTTATAAATATAGTTATTGACAGACACATTATGTAATTGTGTTCCTTTTCCTTTTTACTACTTTAATGACAAATATTTTTACTATTTTGACACATGACTATGCTGAATAGAAATGCATATTACCTTTTTTTAGTTCAGACCGGCTTTTGAGTTAGTAGAGCAGGAGATTATGCAAATTTTACTAACGATTTTGTCAACTACTTTCTTGAGTTCAGAGGTCAACAGTAATGGGTTTTCACATTTTGCCTAACTCGGCCACTATTTAGCGTTTACTTGAAATGTTAATGCAACTTGGTTTTCTTTTTACCATTTGGAGACGAGCTGATGTACATACAGTATGTAATTAAGAACGTTAGACCTTTGAGTCATATTCATTCAACATGTATGTACATGTTAACATGTATATATGTACATGATACATCGTGTATTGTAATACATTATGTCCGGTATATGTAAGTATGCTTAGCTGTCATATAATTAACGTAGCCTAATCAGTCAAGGCTAAGCACAGTGATTAGGTTTGAAATATGCAAGGCCAAATTATAAGAAATGGTTTATTAGTAATTTGAATAAAAATCGTAACGCTGACAGCATTTCCTAATATTTGTAATTAATTCTTTTTATTTTAAATTGACAACCCAAACTTTTATTTATTGTATAGTTACTGATTTATGACATGCTGATTGTTGTTTGCAAAAAAGGTGAAAGGCCGAAAACACAAAAGCAAATTTAAAGCACGTGGCCATTTCAACTGTTTCATAACTTGTCTTCTATCTATCCAATTAATTTCTTGGATTTTTTTTTGAGAATATAAATTACTTTATATGTATGCATACCTAATGCGTAGGATGACACTATAGTGTGGATTAAAATACAAAAAAGTACAGGCGAAATTTGAAAGATAATTTATAATGCAAAATAGAAAGTTTAAAGAAGTTGAAAAATATATTTGATACTTTTAATATCTTGTTCTAAGGACTATTGTCATAGGTGGAAAATAGGGTCAAGTAAAAAAAAGTTTAAAACTATTTTCAGCAAAAAAAGTAAACCGTTCTATTCATTATTATTTTATTTATTCATATTTTTCTCTGAATTTTGATTACTAACGAAGGTTGTTATGATAAGTGCCAGGTCCATGTTTAATGTCTATAAAGAAAGTATTTCTATTCATAACAAGGTAATTAGCATTATAGCTACAGCCAGTTTTAATAAAAACGACGGGACGAAAATCGGCGTGAATAAAAGACAAAAGTAGAAAAACTTACAACATTTTACTATTCTCAAAACTCCAAACATTCTAATGTCATCAAAGCTTGGCCCTGATGATCTGTATACATACTGTAATGTTCTTTGTCTTCCTAAACGCATACATTTACATAATAACAGAGATGTAAGCGGTTGTTAATGATGGAATAAATCTATGAAAGAACTTGCATGTAAAATAGGTTTTGCATAATAATTGACAAGGAAAAATCTGAAGAAAGCGAAAGAAAACTATACTCATGTAATTTTAAGGTAGCTACGTTATTTCTATCATGACTTTATCAATCTTACTTCCAATTAGAACAAATATACTGATATTCATTGACAACAGGTCATCCAGACACTCTTTTAATTGATTCTTGTACATTATGCACGGAAAATGACGAAATAAACCGAGTTTTTACGATCCAGTCCATTACGAATGCGTCATCATTGAAGTAATCTTTGAAAATAAATTAACAGGTCATGACTGATAACGGTTGCAGTTATCAACGTCCTTACCAACATAGCTATTTCATACTATAGCGTAAATGCTATCATGAAAGTGAACATCTAAGATTCAACTGACGGGTTCGTTCTTGTTTGGTCATAAGTAAATAATACAAATATTACGGATCTAAATCAAAGTTTGGAAATGTTGTTTTTATAATAACCTATCGTCTGTATATAATATAATCTAATATCTAAACGGAAATAGCATTACCGGACATAGTATATGTCCGATATTGAATATAGTTTGATAAATTTATTGTTAGCATTTAAAGGATAAACAATACTGATGCAGTTCGTATACTTGTACGTTAAGAATACAGGAACCTAATCTCCAAAGATGTTTTCATAGCTACATTTCATCAAAAGTTGCAGAAAACATCAATTTTTATGGACTATTTTGTTGTTTATTGAAGCTTTTTTTTACAAAATAAAGGATTATTTTTCAAAGATGGGATTCACCAAATCACACGTTATTGTTCTATTATTAGTAACAGTGGTGATGCTTTTTGGCATTCGCTTATTTTTTGACAATGATCTAAATGACAAATATCATCGTCAATCAAAATCAGAAAAATCGTCTGCTAGGTTAAGTAATGATGAACTTCACATGACAATTGCAAGTCTTGTCCAGCAGAGAAATAACGTGTCGAGGGAATTGAACAAAAAACAACAAGAAATTGGTCAACTAGAATGTGAGGTTTGTTAGTTTGTATGATTTATAAGTGACAGTTTTAGAAACTAGATCAATCTGGCCATCTAAGAGAATATTATAAACTCAAACGTGTTCAAAATATAAAATCTTGGGTCTCTCTCCGTCCTTGATAATAATATACCCCAATTGTACTTTAGAATTGCCAGTGCCACTTCCGGCACAAATTTACTTATGTTTATATTGTGTTTTACTATTCTTAATATCCGATGTATTATATATATTGTATCAGTTGTTTGACTTGCACATGCTCGTAAATAGTGAGATACTGTTTAACTGCTTTCATCTTTAGTAAATATTAACTTGACGTTTTATCCCCCATTAACATGACGATTAATTTATCATTAACATTTAGGTGTATTCCTTATGAACATGGTGATTTATTATTCATGAACATGGTGGTTTATTATTCATGAACATGACGGTTTAATATTCATTAACATGGCGGTATATTACCCAATTAATATGACGCTTAATTCCCGCATTAACACAACGGTTAATTCCCCAATTAGCATGACGGTATTATCCCACAGTAACATGACGTTTTATTCCCCATTAAGTGACAATTTATTCCCGCATTAACACGCGGTTTATACCCCCATTAACAGGACGGTTTATTCCCGCGTTAACATGACGCTTAATTCCCCCATTAACATGACCGTTTATTCCCCAATTAAAATGACGGTTTATGCCCCAATAATTATAACGGTTTATTCTCCCATTAACATGACGGTTTATTCCCCAATTAACATGACGGTTTATTCCCCTATTAACGTGACGGTTTATTCCCCCAACAACATGATGGTTTATTCCCCCATTAGCATGACACTTCATTCCTCATTAACATGACGGTTTATTTCCCCATTAACATTACGGTTTAATCCCTCATTCACATGAAAGTTTATTCCCCCATTCACATGACGGTTTATTCCCAAATTTACATGACGATTTATTCCCCAATTAACATGACGGTTTATTCCCCAATAAACATGACGGTTTATTCCCCTATTAACGTGACGGTTTATTCCCCCAACAACATGACGGTTTATTCCCCCATTAACATGACGTTTCATTCCTCATTAACATGACGGTTTATTCCCCCATGAACATTACGATTTATTCCCCCACTTACATGACGGTTTAGTCCCCATTAGCATGACAGTTTATCCTCTAAAAATATGACAGTTTATTCCCCAATTAACTCATTTGTATCGAGTGAATCGTCTTAATATTCTAATGACCCATGTATATTAAGGATCATGATCAAGATCTGGATTAAAATCAAAATTATGTGTTTAAAAATTTAATGTTAATTCAATACATGTACTAAACTTGATACGAAATAAGGCAATGATTAATGTTAGTTCCATACTGGACTTGGTACGAAAAAGGCAATGGTTAATGTTAAATCAATACTGGACTTGAAATGAAATAAGGCAGAGATTAATGTTAATTTAATACTGAACTTGAAATTAAATAAGACAATGATTAATGGTAATTTAATACTGGACTTGAAATGAAATAAAGTAAGACAATGATTAATGTTAATTTAATACTGAACTTGAAATGAAAAGACAATGACCAAATTAAATGTTAATTTAATACTGGACTTGAAATGAGTTAAAACAATGAATAATGGTTTTGCTATATTGGACTTGACACTAAATAAAACAATGGTTAATGTTAGTTTAATAACAAATTACTTGAAATGAAATTAGACAATGCTTATAAAAATTATTTCAGTACTACATTTAAAATGAAATAGGACAAAGAATAATGGTTATGCTATATTGGACTTGATATAAAATAAGACAATGTTTGAAGTCAATACTAAACTTGATATCAAATTAGACCTAGTGTCACAATGACTGAAGTGACTTGAAATGAAATAAGACAATATTTAACGCTAATTTAATAATGGACTTGAAATGAAATAAGACAATATTTAACGCTAATTTAATACTGGACTTGAAATGAAATAAGACAATATTTAACGCTAATTTAATAATGGACTTAAAGTGAAATAAGACAATATTTAACGCTAATTTAATAATGGACTTGAAATGAAATAAGACAATATTTAACGCTAATTTAATAATGGACTTGAAATGAAATAAGACAATATTTAACGCTAATTTAATACTGGACTTGAAATGAAATAAGACAATATCTAACGCTAATTTTATACTGGACTTGAAATGAAATAAGACAATATTAAACGCTTTTTTAATACTGGACTTGAAATGAAATATTTAAGACAATATTTAACGCTAATTTAATACTGGACTTGAAATGAAATAAGACAATATTTAACGCAAATTAAATAGTGGACTTGAAATGAAAAAAGACAATATTTAACGCTTATTAAATAGTGGACTTGAAATGAAATAAGACAATATTTAACTGCGTACATGTAACACAGTAATAATCATATAAAATTGATCCTAGATGGGGTCGAGCTATCTTAGTTCTACATTAAAAGTGATGAATATTGAATCATCCCGTACCCTTATCAACGAAAATCCAGGGGCTATACAATGTTATACAACTTTATGTGACATTTACCGATAACTTAATCTCGCATTAAGACTACATGCTCAATATATTAGACAAACATTGTATGGCAGACCAGGGTCTTACAAACGGACAGACGTGTCGCTTTAAATGCCACACATGTTTATGTCACTATTTAGTCTGATTTGATTTACTGATTTAATTAGTTTGTTGGTTGATTGATTGTTCTACCTTTTGATTTTTGTCCCCCAACTATGGGGGGGGGGGCATTTAGATTTACCCTTGTCCGTCCTTCCGTCCGTCCGTCCGTTCCCTTTTTGTGTCGCACGTAGCTCAAAAAGTAATGGACCTAGTGTCATGAAACCTTACAGAAATGTTGATCAGCATGTGAAGTTGTGCACCTTGGTATTTTCATGTGGATATATTTAGTATTTTTAGAGTTATTATCCTTGACTTAGTAGAAATTTACAATATTTAACTTGTGTTGCACGTAACTGAAAAAGTTTATGACCTGTAGGCCTGAAAGATTACAAGAATGTTGGTCAGCATGTGTACTTATGCCCCTTGGGGTTTTCTTGTGGATTTATTCAGTATTTGTAGTATTTGCCCTTTACTTAATAAAACATTTTTAGTTTTCAACTTGGGCACATGTAGCTAAAAAAAATATTTGACCTAAAGACATAAGATTGACAAATCGGTGGAAAGTGGGGCACCCGTGGACACATTTCTAGTTAATAATATGTTTGTTTGTTTGATTGATTATTTATTTATTTATTTATTTGTTTATTTATTTATTTATTTATTTATTTATTTATTTATTTATTTATTTATTTATTTATTTATTTATTTATTTATTTATTATTTATTTATTTATATTTATTTATTTATTTATTTATTTATTTATTTTGTTATTGTCTCAACACTTCGCTGGTATGCTATATATACCTCCTTATATTGTTTAATTATCGATCAAACACACACCAATTAAATCCGTAATGAATATAATAAAAACAATTACATTAGGGTGAGTATATTTTTTTACTTGTAAACAATTAACGAGGAGATAAAACCGGGTAACAAAGCGGATGTGTTATCTCAGTACAACTACAACGAAACAGAAACTATATACATGTATCGAACATTTTTGCTAACAATATATTTATGGTATTTACTAACCATTTTGCTCAAATCACATTATTTTGAATCTAGCCACATATATATACTTGCAAACTTATATTCTTACATTTTGTTATTTGCTGTTTTTTGTTTGTTTGTTTGTTTTCTTTTTCAAAAATTGAACTTAAATCAGTGTGTATTTAAACTGTATTAAAGTGCAAAATTAACAAAATTTTGTCTGCTTATTAACTATTTTAACAACACTTCCATGCACATATTGTGCATTAAGATAAAGCGCTAAAATGGAAGGAAACGGCCAATGCAAAACTGTTTAACAATGTACATGCCTAATAATTGAAATGTTGTGGAAGGCTATCGCTGTTTTCAAGCAAAGTGAAGAAAACGTGTTTCTTAGTATAGCACTAATTTTGTTACACCATTTCATAACTTCAACATTTTTTTTTTCAAATCAGTGTTATCTAGTCCTTTTTATTACAGACTTGTTCCAATGAAATTGTTATTCGCAATCAGTAAATTTCAGTCAAATAATCGTATCTGTATATACAATTAAAGCTTTTCTTGTGTTCTTAACAAAATCTTTTAAAATTAAAGCAATGTTTTTGTCATTGATATTTATTTTTGTTTATTATCCTCATAATTTATGAGTGTTGTTGTTGTTCATATTGTTATATTGAAGTTCGAGTTTATATATGGCGGGCATCACTTTTAAATAACAGGTAATAAATGTTTAAAATGTATAAATCATGCATACAAATAAGGAACTACAATGTCTACCTACAAAATGATAGTATTATACACTTTTTACATTGCAGTATTATGTTTAAATTTAAAGAAGGGAAGGTTTGTAATACAATTAATTATAACATTGACAGTTCTTAGTGTCAAACAATACAAAAAAACACACGAAAAAATTACATATATATGTTGTTGACAAATGTAAGATATATATTCTGGTATAACATATATTTATATAACAAATAATAAAATGTTCAGAAAAATAGTATTATCCATTATATTCATAATAAATGTCTTCAACTTTATCAACATTTTTTTTCCATGCAATATTTACTAAGAATATCCACATGATCCATCTCTATTGTTTTTATCAATATTTGAAATTCTTCTGGGAAGTGCCATTAGTAGACCAATTCACTGTAAAGTAAATAGACATCTCTACCAGCCGTATCATCTTTGTTCGTTTGTTTGTATGAGTTGGTTTTTCACGTCACACCGACACGGTATTGGTCATATGGCGACCTTCCAGCTTGACTGGTGAAAGAAGACCTCAGGTGCACTTCCGTGCATTATTTCAGGCACTAACGGGCACCTTAGATGAACCACCGACATTCCTTTAGCTAGCTGGATAGCTTCCTCACATGAAAAAATTCAAAGTCTTTGAAAAAATTCAAAGTCCCTGTCGGGATTCGAACCCACAGCGGTGAGGGGCAAATGATTTTAAGTCAACGACCTTCTACCACTCGGCCACGGACACACCGCCGTATTATCTTCATGTTAGCTAATAAAAACAAATCTACTTGATATTTATACTATGATAACATTTCACTTCACATATGTAAAATAATTTGACAATTGACTATAGCAGTTTTTTTTAAAATTCTTAAATAGTTATATTGTATAATTCAATTGCATATAATAGAATAATAACTTTCAAAACGACTGCCAATTTTGTTTAAGTATATAAAGTTAAATCAGTAAAGATAGCCTTATGGTCATTTATTAAATGCTATACTGAATAGTATGTGTATGTTATTATATGAATAGTGCATGCACGTAAACAGAAATAAAATGTCAGCGAAAAAATGAGCATAGTGTAACTTTAAGGGAGGTAAATATTATAGAATCGGTTAATTATATCCAGATAATGAAATAATACAGACTATTTATTTTATTTTAGGAGGCAACACGTAATAAAGTAAGACAGAAGGTATCATCTACCGGCGGATGGTGTGCACAAACAAGTGTAGAAAACTCTGGTGAACATAAGACCGATACAAAACTTGTCCCGGTACTGGCGAAATTTTTCCAGGGTAAGTATATGATATGTGCATATTTCAAACTAGTCAACTAGTCCCTGTATGGTGGCATTATTTTTTCCATGGTTTGTAAATGGAATTTAAAATGATAAACAAAAATTGGCAACATTTGTCCTGGTTTAATATTTGGTGAATATAAAAGTAAAAAAAATGACACAATTTTTCCAGGGATAGAATAAGGTAAATACATGTATAAAGATAAAACATTGGCAAAATTGTAAGTATATGGTATATCTAAAAATAAAACATTGGCAGACAGTTTATGTGGTAAATTAAAAGATAAAACATTAATGTATTTTTTAGGGATAGTATATAATATATAAACAATATAACATTGGCGTTACTTTTCAAACTTTGGTATGATTTGGTAACTTTTAAATACAGTATTAATACAATACAATATTTTTTTTACAAAATATATTCTAGACAAATTGTCTGTTATGTCTACACCACTTAAGATCTGATGAGTGCACCACTAATCATCTTATAAGAGCAGGGCTCAAGGTCTTAAGTTTATCACTATCAGTGATTTCAGCAAATGTTTACCGAAAGGGTCGGTTGATTGGTTGTTTACCCTCCGGTTATGGCAGTAAGCTCCACTGTGAATTCACCAACGCACAGTTCAGCCACCGCATCGTTCGTTGCCAGGCTGGTATTAGCAGTTAACCAATACTATTTGCTTTTCACATTCGCAAGGAACTGATAACTTCTGTACATGTTAAAGCAGAGGTACAGTGTGAATTACCGTAGAAAGGAGTTAATGATCAATCATAACGAAAGTGGCCTGCCTCGTCCCGGAATCGAACCCGGACCGCCCGATTCAGATATCAACTCCCTCCCTATTGCGCTAACCCAACGGCTATTTGAGGGTTTATGGGCTCTAATAAATGCATCTTTATCTAAAGCCCCAGTCACATTAGAGCTTATGACCAGTGAAGACTAGTTCACGATCACCAGTGACCTCTGGTCGCGGACAATCTTTAAAACGTCTTACGACGGTCATCGATGATCTTTGACAGTCGCAGGTTATCTTATTTAGGTCCCACGACCAATTTCAGTCGTAGAGAGGTTTTTGAGCTTGCACAAAAACCTCATTACTATCAAACAGGTCTCTAGTGATCTTATAAGGTCTTAAGGCTGTCGCACGATGGTCGTTCGGAAGTGCGACAATCTTACGACAGTCTTTACAAATTGCCACTAGTCACTGATAATCTTAAGTAGTCTTTAGTAATCGTGTGATGGTCGTACGACAAGTTGTAAGTGATCGCATGTTATGTCACGGGTAGTCGTAAGTAATCCTAGGCAATCTTGAGACCATCGTACGTTTACTTATGACCTGTCGTGCGATTGTCAATGATGACTTGTCTTACGATACTCGCAAAAGTAAATTTATCTGTGCAAAAATGGTTTCGGTCGCAGACAATCGCTGTTGATCGTCAGTTTTACAAGTCGCTGGTGGTCGCAAGTAATTGTAAGCTCTAGTGTGACTGGGGTTTAACTGTACATACAGAAATGTACAGAAAGTAAATATTTGTGTATCTACACGATTTAATATGTTCCGTATGACCACGTTTATCATTAAGCAAACTGCAATCAGTCGACCACAAATGGAGTCGATAGATAACACTGTTTATCTTTATTATTTATGTTGCTTTAAACACTTAAACTTTTGTCTTTTTAAACAAAATATAATGTAGTGATACAGCTAGAAAATATATAGAGGATATTTGTTTAGTTCAGTGTAAGATCGGAATATATTTCACCGAGTGAGCACCAAAAGGTATATTTCACGAGTGGCGCAGCCACGAGTGAAATATGAACTTTAGGTGTTCACAAGGCGAAATATATTTCGATCTTACACTAAACTAAACAAATTTTCTTTTTATTATATGCAAAGAACGTTTTATAAAGACATTAAACCTAATACTGAATGAAAAGCACGTCAAATAATAATACAACATGACGTCATTTACGACGTCACGTCATTAAGTTGGTTCCCAGTACTGTGCACGCTGGTATTTCACTGAAACAACGTAAGGGGCTTAAATTCAAAACAGTGAAATTATCAAAGTGGTAATTTCACTGTTTCAAACAGTGAAATTACCAGTTTTCTATCACTGATGTATTTCTATAAACCACCGAAAAGCATGTAATAAATATATATAAATGGAAATGACTGTGTAATTTTCTTACCACGCAAAATAAAACATGTTTTTTTCAGCAGGTCGTTTGATTATTTTCTTGTTATAAAAAGACATATTTACAGGTTGAACAAGAACAAGTAGATGTTTTCAATACAAAATAAATGAGTTTTGTGTAACGTATAAATAATAAATATTTTTTTAAAATAAAAATGTAGTACTTATTTAAATAGTTACATTTATCAGTCAAATTCTTATTTTTTATAAAATCCTGATGCTTGAAATTTATATTCAACGTAAATCCATTTTGCAACCATACTATAATTAAAGTGTCATTGTGGCCATTTTGTCGTTGTTATATTTTCAAAATGTTCATTGGCCATAAATAAATAATAAAAAAGGTTAGGATGAAATATAAAAACTGTCTAAAAATATAAGGAGTTTTATTAATGAACGTTACAAATAAATTGTATATCAGAATTTAGCCTTGGTTTTTATCGTATCTTTTGAAGTCAAGTGCATGATAAGAAAATTCTTTTTAGTTGTGAATTGTCAAATGGAGGCCAGGATTATGTAAACAAAGGATATATCGTTTTTCAATTTTCCCTTTTTGGATACAATGAACTTGATTTTGAAATATATAGGAAGAGCTTTCTAAAACTCACCCAAAGTCCTAGTCAAGATTACCCGCCACTGACGCAAGTGACTACCTTATCAAAGTATGCTACACAAGGGACTATAGCAACGATAGGATTACGTCATCGCGCCAACTGCAAAAACAAAATGCTCCCAATCGAACTGTTTTTTTGTTGTTCTTTTTTCATTCTAGGAAATAGATAGAATATAAATCAAAGCACAGAAGGCGCTGAATTTGTTTGGGTCTCAGAATGTAAGAAAGGTGCAGGTTGTGAGATTATATGTACAGTGCCACCAATGCTTTCCAGCGTTTTAATTGTAGTAAATTGGCTATATATAAGACTAATTGCAACACTGATATTCAATCCAATGTTTATTTGACTTTAACAATTTGAAAAAAAATGAGTTACCTTTACTGGGATTTGAACTCCAGACCTCTCGCTTCCTAAGCGAGCCCGAAAACCCTTCAGCCACGGTGAATTTATATGTGAACGGGCTGAAGAAAACCATATTATTCTAAATTAGGGCTTGTAACGACTTTAACTGTTGTTTAACACAGATGTAAATAATCCTGGAGCTTACTATAAGCATTTATATTTATAAAGAATCAAAGGGCTGCAAGTTCTGTGGTATTTTCTGATCTTTGCAATCTAAATCGTACTGTATATCTGTATGCATTTTCCTGTATAGGTTTATTTTTATGTATTATTATTCATTTTGCAAGGCACCAGAGTTTGATACATACGGAATTCTGCATAACTAGAGTTGCATCAAAAAATCATTTATGTTCATTTTTTACGACAGCCACACTTTATCCTTGCATATCATGGCTACTTCCTTAACAAAAACACTTAAAAAAGAATTTAACAAAAAAAAAGTTTCCTCGACTGTGATTCGAACTCGAGACCTCTCACTCACTAAGCGAGCGCGTTACCACTGTACCACGGAGAAGTTATACACAGAAAGTTTGAATAATATCAAGTCATTCTAAATTTAGAACTTCCATTGCATTTCGGGTTTGTAATCCTTATTAATTTCGAGGTATTTTGTTCAGGGTAAACCTGTTGTTTAAAATTGAAGTAAATATTTTAGCAAAAATCCTCTCGCCCAAACAGTCCGACATGTAGAATCTATATATTCCACTACTCGGTTTGTGTAGTATTCGGTAATAAATAGTATTTTCATTGATAAAATCATATTCATCCGCGTAATTTGTGATTGTGCATTTATTGACAATTCTATAAGCCAACGCTATTGTTTAACTTTAAATGCGTTGTAATTTGTTGGATACTTGTAACAAAATAAAATATTTCTTTCTTTTAAATCGCTAGTTTTAAGCTGTTTTGAGAACTACTTGTTGTTAGGTTTGTCGTAAACTTCTGTGTCAGAGATTGAATGTCCGCTTTGTATTTAGTTATTTTCGATCAGAAAATACAATAAAACAATATTAGAAATCTTCGACCATTCGGGAATTACTTTGCTTGAAAATTGATGCGCCTGTCTTTGACCATCTTTACGCAGTGATCTCCCCTGAATTTTTCGGCTTTAGTGTACATACAAAAGGGAAGTAACCGCTTCAAAAAAGTGGACTACTTTCGGCATTTGCAATTAACAACATTAGACTCTGAAATTTCGCTACCATTATTTGTTTGGTCTGACGACCCAAACAAATAAAAACTAATGTAGCGCTCCGAAGATTGGGCTTTATTTTTTTAAGTTTTACCGCCTGAAAACGGGACAATTATTGTTTAGGAGTTCGAGTGGGAGCAATTAGGGGAAAAAACAACTTGTCCCATTTTCATGACTAAACTAGGCAGTAAAACTTTAAAATGTTTTTTTTAAATTATATCAAATACTTAAGCTTGGTGCGCTGCATTATTTTGATATTCTAAAGATTTCTAAGAATAAAAACATATTTTACCTCCCAGTCCGACTGGGAGAATTTATCAGGTTCGCGATGACGAAGTATTCTACCATTGTTATGGATCATCCTAGGGACTTGATTGGTCATGCCTTACTGATTTGATACTCGATCCAGAGTCCTACCAACTGGCACAGTCAAAAATACGTACAATTATGATTCAGTTAATAACGAATTTCTGTGAAAGTGTTTCACAACTTGTTTTTTTTTTGTGATTTTTTTTTAAATATTTGATAAGTAGATTATGAATTAAAAACTATCAAGTTGAAAATATTACTTTACCAGCTTAAATATATTGGTGTGATGTACGATTTTTTGAAAGTGCATTTTTTGCCGACACAAATAGTATACAGTCATGTACATTCAAAAGAATTTTTACTTTTTATGCCATTACATTTTTTTTTAATTACATAGACTTCTATTGTTGTTTTTCTTTGTCTTAGTAATGCTTAAATCAAAATGCTTTTTAATAAACCAGTATCTTGCAATTAATTATTACGCAGCCGTTTTTTTCGAAACTACAGAATCCTTACATTTTTGAAACTCAAAAATCTTTTGGGTATTGTATATTAGCAGAGACATAGATACAATATCTATATTTCTGGTATTAGCAAGTTAGTAGATTTAACTGCCTGGTAAAATTTTCATTATTAAGAATCTAACGAAAATGTTAATCATGATCAGTAACCCAGCAATACGGTCTACTATTAAAACAAATCGTTAACCTTATTATAGTAAACATTTTTATTCATTTCACTATCCTTTTTATGTAACATCTTATTCAATTACACGAAATTTTGGCAATTTCAATCTGCCAATCTTACAAGAGAAAGGATTAAGATCTTTATATCCCTCAATTATTGTACTTTATCGTATCGGCAATGTCCACCGTATTCCCTAATGACGTCATCCAAGGGCGACAACTTGAATACGGTTTTAAATGAAAGGGTCTATAGATTACTTTAGGCCCAGTAGTCTGAATTCTTCCCCATCAGTCCTGTTGTGAAAATACGCTGGGTACCAGTCTGAAGAACTAAATAAAACTGGTTCCCTTGTCGGTGAAGCAACGGTTACAAAAAAAAAAAATGTCGATTTTACATTAAGAGTGTATACTTTACAATCTACTCCTTACAAATTGTATACAGAAATTTAAATATACAATCTGCTCTGACTGACAAACAATAGAAATAAAAATAAACGTAATTGTGTTTTTATGATGGTGTTTTCATAATCAAAATCTCATTTTTAACAAAGCATACTAAAATTCCTTAAATATGGTAATTAACCGTAACAACCAAGGTTCTGCGACATAGATAACCAAGTTAAACGGTTTTGTTTGTTTTATAAACATAATTAAACTCTTCAGTATCAATTTCTAAACTACCATAGTTTTCCTTATAAAAACTATCCATAGAAAACGCGGGAATTTAATTTTTAAATGTCTTACCGTAAATTGTATAAAAAATGTCTTTTTGACATTTTTCTCTGAAAGGTTAAACAAAATATTGTTTAAAAGTTGGGAAAAATTTATGTGAAATATTTTCAAATGACGAGTTTTAAAAGTTTATTTTTTACATGTATTGCATTTTTTTCAGTTCCTTTTATTTTGAAATGTTTATTTTTAGGGGTTTTACAGTAACATTGAGTCACGAGTGTATCACTTGATTGTGTATTTCTGTCGGATTTATGTGAAAATAATTCACAAATATATAAATGAACAGGCAAAAAACTATGAAAACATTTGAAAACTACAAATGTTTGTTTGGCTGTGTAATGCGTTGTGCAAATGAAAGAGTGTTCCTTAATCTGATGTTAATCTTAAGCTAAGACAAAAATAACTCAACTTGATATACAGAACAAAATGGTTTTTTAATTAAGATTACACGCCATGTATCGTCAATACAACTGAAATGAGCCTACTGTGGTCCAAAGCCCTAAAGACATAAATTTTGGAAATATCAATTAAATGAACTAGGGTATACGTACATCAAACAATAATTTGCAAAGACAATAAAACATTAGTCAAAATTAAATGGAAAAGCTAGATTTTAGTTACAAGCGTCTAATTGTATTCGTCATTAAACATTCTCAAAATTATCATTCTAGAACAACTAGGTGAGGAAATGATGTGAACATTTGCACACATGTTACTTGGGAACTATTTTTCAAGTCGTGTCATATGAAGCACCTTAGTGGTATTGATTCCATCGATTTAGGTTTAATTAAAGTTCCAGTAATTGACTACTTCATATGTAAACAATACGCCATCTGTGTAAGGCTGAAGCTGGTCATATTTGCACAAACTCAACACAGGCTTAGTAACCAATCACGTGACATACCATCAAGCGCTTGATCTAGAAGAAGATAGGTTCCGCAAACAATGAAAAACAAGCAACGCATTGTGTGTGATCACCTGACATTTGTTTATGGTATTAAATCACCGCTAATGTTGTTTAATTTTGTTGTTTTGCTTATTTTCATTATTTCTGTCAATATTTCAATATTCAACACATAGTCCAGGCAAAAATGTTCCAATTCCAATGGAGAAGGATTTTTTTTCAATATAGTTCTTACATCTCACGTTATACTTGCAGAAATGTGTCTATGCAGCACTATTTTGATGAAAATATGTGTCACAAGTTTTGCACGCTTTTTGGAAATTTACAAAAGCTCCCGGAATTTGCAAATATTTGCCTGGAACATGTTACATGTGTTAATGCTGTTTACCATTCAAAAACTAAAAATATATAAGATAGCAGAATTTATTACCCAATGGCATCGTAACAAATGTCATGAGGTCACCCAACCTTTAACACCAACATTTCAGAGTGTATTAGATTGAAAATAGGAACCTATATGTCTCGGCGCAAGATTATTTGACAATAAGTACAGGTGTAGTGATTAAATACTTTGTATGAGAGTCAATATACCACTATATTTACAATTTGCTTTTTATGACAAAAACTCAGCGTGATAAGCTTAAAAATGATCTTACAAAACGAAACAAAACTTCAAAAGAATGGTTATTCATTTTTTCTTATGCATTATGTGTATAATTTAACAAACTATTGAAATTATTTCAGATAAATATGTTGCATCATTTGGTGACGGACCAGGTCGATATAAACAGCTGCTCTCAGATTCTGGTCTTTTAAAGGGATATGACGCCTATGACGGTGCGCCTTTTAGTGAGAAGACCAGCGAGGGGCGTGTCATGTACCTCGATCTGACACTCCCACAATACGGTTTACCACTTTATGATTGGGTGATGAGTCTGGAAGTGGCGGAGCATATACCAAAAGAGTATGAAAGCATATATCTTGATAATATTGCAAGGCATGCAAAGGAGGGTATTATTCTCAGCTGGGCAAAGCCAGGTACGTATATGAAGTTTACCATTTACAAAACATATGAATACGTAAGTTTCGATTCAACGTTATTCTATTTTCTAGTTGTTGTTGTTCTTTTTTTGGTAAACATGTATTTTGAAATAATTATTAAAGAACTACCAGGAATTATAAAGTGTTGTAAATAAAACCTGATAGTGTTATTAATGCACACCCCAACAAATCTAGCACACACTATATCCATACCTTTGACTTTAAATAAGACGGAGATATTTATGTTTTAGTAGTCAGTTTTCTTGTATGTTTGATCGCTAAATATAGAAAGTAGTTCTTGTTTTTGTAATAGTTACTCATAGCTTTATTGCTGGTCACGTTTTTGTGCCCTTCCTACTTTTTGTACACACATTTGAAGTTGAAAACTGACTCATTATATTTTACAGGACAAGGAGGTTTTTCCCATGTGAACACAAGACCATTTGAGTACGTTAAAGCCGCCTTTGAAAAGCTCGGATTTGAACATGATGCTCAAAATTCTGACATGCTTAAAAAGGCTGCTTCGCTAGAGTGGTTACAGTGGAACACGAACGTTTATAGAAGAAAAGACTTAAGTAATATCGACCATATCAAAACGCTGTTGACTTGAGAAAAATATATGCGCATATTAATGATTGGAAAACATTTTCATCCGGATAACGAGGGGATAAAGTGTTATATGTTACCTAAAAATCGGTATTTAATTATTCAATTTCAAAAAATGCATTATTGTTTATTATGCTATCGGCAGCAACATTTTACGCTAACATTGTCATTCTTTTTCTGTTCAAGTTGACTGTACTATTTTACATGTCTGCAATAAACGAAAGGGATAAGAATTGCTTTTGCCACCAGTAATGAGCCAGACCAGCTTGTATCTCCCTGGAGTCTACCTAGCTAGCCTCTGTATGCTTAATTCACGTACTTGATATTTGTACAAGTGATAATGGACATTTGTAAAATGGAAAGTCGCCATGTTTATTTGAGTATTTAACAGATTAAAGGGTCATTAAATCAGAAGAGAATACAATCAGCATGTATTAGTAACAGAAGAAAGATTTAAACTACACTAAAGTCTTACATGTAGCAATTATAAAGTTTCCGATCATATGATGATAACTATATTATATGTATATAGATTGCTTATTATTATTATTATATAGGTCATAATATGCAATTAGTTCATTTTTTTGTAAAATTTCTGTTTTAAGAAGAATGGGTGATGCAATAAATAAAATAAAATATTAATGTAGAAATATTTTAGAGACAGCTATTGAATATAGGTGAGGGTTTTCTTACGTAATATTTGTCATATATTAAACATTTGTAGGTCGCGTGCCATAAAACGTGCTAAGAATTAATGCTTTGTCTATTTTATTATTTTTATCTAGTCTTTATTTCCATTTTTGTCAGTTTTTATCCACTTTTTATATGCAGTTTTCTTGCCCCGACTCTAAAGTAACCTTTTTTTCTGTTGCGTATTTTCATGCTTTTGTTTTGGTCTTTTTGATGGTACAATATGGAATCTTGTAAACGTTTATCATATGTTGCAATTTCTCTTTATTTTACTATATAAGGAATTTATTTTTAAATTGTCTCTATAATTGTACTTTGATACTTGCCATTGCTTATTGTTTGTGAGCTGTATAGAGAAAAAAAAACATTGCAAAAGAATTATTCATGTACATTGTATGTCTTTTCTGTGGTGGAACTACGTATCTTATTAACATATCATATTATATGATAAAACATGATTGTACAGAAATGTATATATTAATATATTTCATGTTATTATAACATCTATCCCATATGTATCAAATACACATGTTTGAATAAATATGAATTATAGTAAGTCAGTCCATGTACAGATTATTTCTACTACAACGTTAAAGTGTTCAAACTAGCAACAGCTTTAGGAAAAGAGGACTCGTGTCGAGTTGTTAGGTTCACGTTTCGAGGTATGAGTTTCAAAAGAGGTTGTGAGGAATCAAGTTAGTATACAGAAGGTGGATGTGTCTACGTAGGTGCCCACTCGCAGAAACTGATGCACAAAAGTGCGCCAGAGGTCTTCCGCAATCCTAAAAGATAAAATATCTTGTTACAATGTCAGTTTGATTCATTACTTTGAAGCCTGTTACATGTATGTTATGCCCAAGAAATGCTTTTATTTTTATTTTTCAAATCTTTTTAATTTTTGGCGCTGCTTTATTCCAAAAAGTTGTTTTAGCAAAATACCTGAACCATTTCTTGTTATGTTGATTTTTGGTCATTAGTGCAATTACAATGATTTACTATTTTGTGCGGAAGTTTAAATAATACTTTGTCTACATTTTGCTACTCTTATGACCAATATTTTCATATTAAGCGCTACTTTCTTCTGGTAACAAGCATCTTCCATGTATATGTCCTAAACCATTATTTAAACATTATAAAGTTCGTGTTTGCCTAAATACGTTATTTGTTTCTAAAGCAAAATGCGACTATCTAATTATCAACAGCCCGCATAACTCAGAAGAAATAGTCAAGTTCCGTGAATGACATTTCAAAATAATTTATGTGGAAGAGTTTATTTATTCTCTTCAAGTAACTCAACTGAGATCCAAAAATCTAAAACATAATATACGACAAGTTTATATTGATCACCGAGCGTACTTAGAAAAATATCCAGAAGATCATAATACTAAAAAAGGATATACTCAAAATGAAATCGAAACAATTCAATGCACGGTATAAGTTGAATGATTTTGCATCTAAATTGTCCCCCGCCTTTTCGAAGAAAAAAGGGGGATATAGAAATAGGCTCCGTCCGTCTGTCAGTCCGAGCAAACATTTTGGGTTTAGGGGCTATATAACAGTAAAGAGAGCAAAAGAGAACAATATAGGTTCATTCCATGATCAAAGGGTTTAGCCCTTAAAAAAACAAAAGAAAATAACAAAGAAAATAGCCCCTAAAGCCGAAATGTTGGAACGTCCGTCCGTCTGTCTGTCCGCACTCACAGGAGAGTAATTATGTGGCTAGAGGGACAATAGGTAACTGTTCTTTCTCTTTGATGTCATTCATTCCGTAATGCTTTTATGTGGCTATTTTCTTTTGTGTGGCTAAAAAGAACAATAGAGAGAACAATAGAGTAGCCACATAATTACTCTCCTGTTAGAACGTCCGTCTGTCCGTCCGTCACACTTTCGTGTCCGGTCCATAACTTTGTCATTTATCAAAGGAATCTGAAATAACTTGGCACAAATGTTTGTTATAATTAGACGATGTGTCATGCACAACAACCAGACCCGTACCTCCAGGGTCAAGGTCGCACTCGCTCATTCAAGGTCAACATTGTTATTTTAGGGTATACATGTATGTCGTGTCCGGTCCATAACTTTTTGTAAATTTTGTAAATACTTGCCACAATTGTTCACAATAATGAGATGATGTGTCATGCGCAACAACCTGTCCCTACCTTTAAGGTCATGGTCACACTTAGAGGTCAAAGATTTACATAGTCTGTTATAGGGTATATTTTGTGTCCAGTCCATATTTTTTTCATAGATCAAGGTATTTTAAAAATACTTTGCACAAATTATCACAATAATAAGACGACATGTTAGGCGCAAAACATGGGTCCCTACCTCCAAGGTCACACTTTGAGGTCAAAGAATAACATAGTCTGTTATAGAGTATATTTTGTGTCTGGACCATTTCTTTTTCATAGATCAAAAGATTTTGTAAATACTTGCCACGAATATCTCAGGCGCAAAACATGGGTCCCTACCTCCAAGGTCACACTTAGTGGTCAAAGATTAACATAGTCTGTAATAGGGTATATTTTGTGTCCGATCTATAACTTCTTCATAGTTCAAGGGATTTTGAAAATACTTGGCACAAATAGTTACAATAATAAGACGATATGTCATGCACAACACCTGCACCCCTAACTCCAAGGTCAAGGTCACACTTAGAGGTCAAAGCTTAATATGATAGATTTTTAAATTCCTTGTTTCATTTTATTTCCTTAAAAAATTATTATTGCATTTGCAGATCTAGCATTGATCAAAGAGGTACGGCTAATTGAATTTTCACAAAATATGTATTTGATGGTAGAAAACATTTATCCTAAGTCAAAAATGATTTTCATTTGATTGGTCGATTTATTTCCCGAAAATATACCCGTAAATTTCCGAAAAACAAACGACCAATCAGATGACGGTTGTCAAGATGGCGGTGTTTTATAGAAATTTCAACGGGGAAATTTTTTGAAGCCGCAGGTGAGTTTATATCACATTGTCATTACAGGTTATTAGTATATTTTGATTACTTTAATGTATTTTTAATTGCCCAGCATGATAAATGCTTGTAATATTATCTCCAACGATTGCAACAGTCGTGTAACTTTGTGTTTCCTGCGTAACCACGATCGATATCGACCTCGCGAAAATGAACAGTTTTTTGTTACTTTGACGGCCAGTACTCGTTAAGTATAAGAGATATAAGAAAAGTTTTACATAGGTTCGATAGATAAATCATTCGACTACAAATTGCATAATTCCTTTTTATTTATGCTGTATCGTGTAAAAAAAACTGCGAGGCAAAAACCCTGATTGGGCATAGGCACCTTCTTACGGGAGTTGTTACCCTTGTCTATATATTAGTATATACTCGTAGTGTAATGGGAATGTACTTAGAATTCTTTTCTGACTTAGGATAAATGTTTTCTACCATCAAATACATATTTTGTGAACATTCAATGAGCCGTACCCCTTTGGCATTGATCATAATTTTGGACTGAAAGTCCTGGGAGCCATACCTCAATCTTTTGAAATAGCACAGAGGCGGGGGACGTTGGTAACTCTGTTACAATTTCTTGTTAAAATGATGTTTCTGAAGAAAAAAAACGACCTGATCAAATGATCTGAAATTGTGCATTCAACTTATTGGTTTAGACGTACATCAAATTGTATATAAATCTTCAGTCCCGAATCAATCCTACGCCTTGGTCATTATATTCCGAGTGATTTAGTAATTTAAAGAACACACATGTTTAAGGAAATATATGTTTGTTCATGTTTTGTTTGGGACAAATAACGATCACACAACTCATTCTTTCCTATTTTCTTTTAATCAGTCCATCTTTCTATCAGTGTTCTTCCAGGCCTCTAAGAAAATAGAAATGCTCAAGCCAGACGCTCGCATTGCTAAACGACTATGTGTGTTGCTCTTTTTTGTTGTTGTTGTTGTTGTTTGTTTGTTTGTTTGTTTGTTTGGTTGAACGTAATGTAGGTAAAATGGTACTGAAACAGGAACGATGATTTCTGCTAACCTATTGTGTGCTACGAACTTCAAAGCAACACAAAGTGTCAAAACCACCACGCATAGACCAGTTATTCGATAACATTAAGTCGCCTTTTACGATCACGCCGGGATAAATGCTGGCCTTACTCTAAAAAGCAGCCCCAAGCCAGGGGGATACGACTATGTATTGACTTAAAAAGTAAATCCTTAATGACAGTGGCCTTGGTCACAATGTCTGACTTCAATATCAGAAAACGTATCTGACTCCCGTGTCTTCAGCTATATAAAATTTCACAAAAATAAAATATCAAAACTGTAAAAAAATCAGCTCTGTACAAACAGGTTTCTATTATTTCCGCGTTTTTTTTTTTATCTTTTGTGTACTTCACTCTAAAAGTTATTTTTAAATATGACTATCGACTTGTCACCGACATAAAAACTAACCTGAAAAAACTAGGTCAACTGATATAGGAACGACCTTTTCCCTTATCACCAGAGCTATTTTTCTGTTTTGATGTGGACAACTGCATTCTCTTTCTCATGCGAAGGATATGGAACGCCATATCTGCCTTATATACACATTTTTAAGTGGTGATGTCCTTTTGATAAGTGGTTAATGTCGTTAACATGGATGGTGCTATTATTTTGATAGATGGTGCAATGGTTTTGATAAATGGTGCTATGATTTTGATGGATGGTTATGTCGTTTTGATAAATGGTGCTGTTGTTTCGAGGGTTGATAGGGGCGTTTTCGTACATGATGCTATGATTTTCATAGATGGCAATGTCGTTTTGATAAATGGTGATGTGGTTTCCATATATGTTGCTTGGATTGTAATAGATAGTGCTGTCATTTTGATAAATTGTGATGTCATTTTAATATGGTTATGTTGTTTTCGTATATGGTTATTTCTGGTGCTGTGAATTTTACAAATGGTGATGTGTGTTTGATACTTGGTACTTTCATATTTCTATATGATGTAGTGGTTTTGATATTCTGATGTCGTTCCTATAAATGGTGATTTATTTTATATGGTTTATCATTTTTAACGATGATGTTGAACTATTCAAAGATGACATGGTTGTTTACCGGACCAGTTTGACGATGGTAAAACTGTTCTGACACCGTATTAGTGGAGGTTATTTGTCGTTAGTTGGGCAAGGCCTCTGACTCTTGGAGCATCGAGCTATTGTTCTTGCATGTTAAATGTTAACCTGTTTATTTTATATCCATCCTATTTTTTATTTTTTAGAGATGCGACTTATTACTAAATGCTACTTTAACTTGCATTTTCCAGTACTATCCATGAGCAGTCACAATCAAACCGCGCCAGCAACATTTTCAATTTTGCCCTTTTTTTGCTTTCTTCCGGGATTCTAGTTGTTCTGTTTTTTATTGGACGTTCCTTAGGGATTCCGTTTTTCTCCATTTTGGTATTGTAGCTTCTTCAATTTGATCTTTTTCTGTCTTATCTGTGAAATGCAGGCTTCTTAACCTCTGATCGTCTTTCAAAATTCCGTTTTATTTAGTTCTGGGCATTGTTTTTAGGGCATAATCATTTTTTCATTTCG